CTCGCCGAAATCCGTGACCGCCCCACACGCCGCCGCCTCGCCGCGCTGCCCTGCGAGCTGCGGGTCCGCCGCCCGCGGCCCGACCTGCTGCGCCTCGGTGAGTACCGCGGTACCGGGACCCACCCTGCGGCCACAGGGACCTGCCCCGGGAGTACCGGGACCTGCCCCGGCCCAGCTTCTCGGGGGCCGCCCCGCCCCGCCCGGCTCCCCCGTCCCGTCCCGCCCCGACGGCCGCTCCGCCCCCCCGCAGTGACCGACTTCTCCAAGAAGACCGGGGACTACCCGAGCCTTTCGGCCGCCGACCTGCAGGTGCTCGCCCTCACGTGCCAGCTCCAGGCCGAGACCGACGGCCCCGGCGGGGTCCGCTGGGAACCGCAGGACAAGGTACGACCCGCCCGGGGACGGGGTCCCGGCCCCGCCGCCTCCGCCCACCCTGCTGTGTCCCCCAGGTGCGGCTCAGCTCCACCCCGCGGCACCCCGAGGCCCCCCTGCACCTCGCCGGCTTCCACCTGCCCGCCAAGGTAGGGAGGGGAGGGACGGGAAGGGGAGGGGGTGCAGCCCCCCGGAGCGCCGGGCGGGTGAGGGACCCCGCGCTGTGCCCCCCCAGCACAGACCCCCGGGGAAGGGGCAGCGCCCGCCCAGCCCCGAGCACGGCCCGATCCCGGCGGACAGTGACCAGTTCAGCTCCTTCCTGTACTGGCGGCCACCCCTGCCCAGCATCGAGGAGGAGCTGCAGGAGCTGCTGGTGAGACCCGGGGCCCCTCCCTGTCCCTGCTCCCCCATTTCTGGCTGTTCCCAACCCCTCTGTGCCGTCCTGTCTCGTACCCCCAGAGCACCCAGGCCATCTCCCTCTGCCCTGAGGAGCCCCAGAGCCTCGGGGATGGGGCCAGCGCTGGCGAGGAGGAGGAGGAGGAGGAGGAGGAGAGCGATGATGAGGGCTGGATAACTCCCAGCAACCTGAAGCAGGCCCAGCAGGACGCAGGGCACTGTGACACAGACCCCGCTGGGGTCCAGGTTGGCTGCGTCACCACAGACTTTGCCATGCAGGTGGGGCTGGGCTGGGGCAGGGGGTGTGGGATGGGGCAGAGGGGTTGGGCTGGCTCAGGGGGCTGTGGGGGCACAATCAGACCTCAGGGCCGGTTCCACCAGCCGAGGCAGGGACGAGTCCTTGGACGGGGGGGAAAAGCTCTGTGACGGCTTCTTATGTCAAAGCCAACTGGGTTTCTCCATCCCAGAGGCTCCTCTGGGTGTCACTTCTGTCAGGGTCTCTGCCATGGGCCTCTCCCTGCCCGGGCTAGCAGAGCCCAGGTGATACTCCCCCCAGTCCCAGCTCAGTGTCCCACTTTGTCCCTCCCCTTGCAGAACGTGCTGCTGCAGATGGGGCTCCACGTGCTGGCAGTGAACGGGAGGCTGATCCGCCAGGCCCGGAGCTACATCCTGCGCTGCCACGGCTGCTTCAGGTGTGGGAGCGTGGGGAGGGGGCTGAGGGGTCCTGCTCCCGGGCTGAGCCCATGTTCCATGGCCCAGGGAACCCCCCTTCTCCCTGCCTTGCAGGACCACTTCGGACATGACCAAGGTTTTCTGTCCCCACTGTGGTAACAAGACCCTGAAGAAGGTCGCCGTGAGTGTCAGTGACGACGGGAGCCTCCACATGCATTTCTCCCGCAACCCCAAGGTGCTGAACCCCCGTGGGCTCAGGGTGAGTACCCAGACAGAATCATGGAATTACTGAGGTTGGAAAAGACCTCCAGGATCATCGAGCCCAACCTGTGCCCGATCCCCACCTTGTCAACCCAGCCCAGAGCACTGAGTGCCACATCCAGTCGTTCCTCGGACACCTCCAGGGATGGGGACTCCACCACCTCCCTGGGCAGCCCCTTCCAGTCCCTGACTACCCTTTCCATGAAGAAATTCCTCCACTGGGCCCCTGGGAATGGGGGCCCGGCCTGTGGCCGGCAGGTTGGAGGGAATCAAAGCAAAACTGTGAACATCCTCTAGGTGTTCCCCTTGACCCCAGGGCTTTAGGGCTTCCCTGCTCAATTCTCCAAAGGCCTGTGGTCCCCTCTGAGCCCCCATGACCCACAGTTGACCCCTTGTCCCCCGGCAGTACCCGCTGCCAGCGCCGCAGGGCGGGAAACACGCCAACAACCCGCACCTGGTGGAGGACCAGCGGTTCCCGCAGCAGCGGCTCTCCCGCAAGGCCCGGCAGAAAACCAACGTGTTTGACCCCGACTACCTGGCCGGGGTGTCCCCGTTTGCCGAGCACGACGTGCACAGCCGGGCCGCCAACCTGCACATCCGCGACACCACGCTGGGGGCCGGCCGGCGCCGCCTCAACCCCAATGCCGTCACCAGGAGGTTTGGGAAGAAGAGGTGAGGGGCAGGATGTGCCCCCCCCTGCAGGACCCACCTGCCCAGGTGTTGTGGTGGCTCTGGGAGGGTGAGGCCTCTCCCAGACCTGGGAACGGGCTGGGCTGTTCCTCCCCTGCTTTGCTGGTGCCCAACTCTTTGGTTTGGGGAGGCCCCCACCAGGGTGGAGGTGGGTGAGGTGGTGCCTTCCCTGCTCAGCCCCAGGCAACAGTTGTGTCCTAATAAACACAAAACTCTGTAGCACCGTGGCTCAGTCTTGTTTCTGTAGCTGCCTGTGCCAGGGTGAGCCTTTCTCTGAGCCGTGAGAACAGGGGAGGGAGGATTTCTCAGGCTGTTTTGTCCCATGGCCCCACAGTGGCATTAGCCAGGGGGAGGATAACAAACTCCAGCAAGACAAAAGCCAGTGGCAGAGGTTTGTGTTTCACCCTGCACTGGGTGATGCCCAGGGCTGAAGGGGGAGGCCCTGGGGGAAAGCTTTGTGGATAAATCTGCTGAAATCTTTCACAATCAAGCAGTCTGCCCAGCTCTTGCTGCAGTTTCTTCTTATCCCTGCTGAAATTGTTCAAAATTATATAATTCCCAACACCTGCTGCAGTCCCTGGCCCTGGAAAGGTCACGGGTTGCAGAGTGGGAGCAGGAAGGGGGGACACAGCTGGGCCTCCCCAGCCCCAGGTCATTCTTAGTGTGTTGGTACTAAGATGCAAATCAAGGGAATGAGGTAACACCCCCCAAAATCCTGCTGGGGAGGTGGCAACTCCCGTCATCTTAGCTTTGGACTTGCCTCACCTCCGTGGGGCAGAACAGCCCCAACGACCCTAAGGGAGAGTCTGCATCTCCCCACATCCCTCAGCAATGGAATCCCAGACTATGGAAGCAATTCCTTTGGTTACAATTTGCAGGATGGGTTGGGCAGCCCCCCAGGGGTTACTGGGAGGCTCCACACCACAAAGTCAATGCAAAACGCTGGGATGTGATTCCAAAGTGCCTTTTCTTACACAACAGCTGCAGCAGGACACAGCTCCTGACCAGCACCAGATGGTTCCCAGCTGGACCATTCCACACCGGTGAGCAGAGCTTCCTCCGGGCAGAGGGAAGATGCCCTTGGAAAAACCACCACAAGACTTTACACAGCAAAATGAAAACTTTCATCGTTTTATTCTCGACTGCAGCTGTTTACAGAAATATAGTTGCGAGTATACAAATGTCCCAATAGAAGCAAAATATTTTTATTTTTTTTTTAATATTCAACAAGTTATCACAGGAGAGCTAAAAACATAGATGCAAATAAAATATCCCCTCAGAGACAAACTGAAAACACCGGGAATCAGTGCTTGGAAAACCCCACCTACGAAAGCCATATACACAGAACTGCACAAAGGAGTATCTGGTGCTACTTTCACATTGCAGGACACAGAAGAGGCAGCTCAGTGCTGGATGGTGCACCCAGAACACCTGGAACACCTGCAGACAGGTGAGGAGGCCACCAGAGGTGCAGCCAGAAACAGAGTTGGAGCTCTGCTCGGAAGGGGTTGGAGTTTACTCAGCATCAGCTCAGATGGAAATAATTCAAATCACCTTGTTTTATCCAGAATAAAAGAGCTTCAGGAATACTGCAGGCTGCTAAGGACACTGGAATGTGATCCCAGTTCTGCAACACTCAAAGAGCCACTTTCAAACAAACTTCCCTCCAGGAACTGTTACCCCAAACAGCTCCTGCCCAAGGACACTCAGGTCAGGCCATTCCCAGCTCCCAGCGGAGCAGCTCCAGGGGCCAAAACGAAGCCAAAGCCATTTACCTGTCGCCTGAACACAGGACCCTTCCTAATCCCAAGCCTAGAGCAAAGCATGCAGCTGGAATGCCACCCAGTGGCTGCTGGGTAAGGGAGCCTTGGAACCTGAACCTCGGATTCCTCACCCCATCCCCATCCAGGGAATGTTACCTGGCAATTTAATGAACTGTAACAGCAAAAAGGAAAGGGCAGAGATCAGCCCTGCAAACTCCAAGAGAAAAAATAAGGACACTGGCTGGCAGTGTGCTGGAGGTGATCTGATGAGCCCTGCGCCACAACAACAATGCCTGATCCACCCCATGTCAAATTCCAGTAGAACACGCTGGATTTGGCATGAAAAGTCATGGTGGACACAACACACACCATTGATTTTATGACCTGCATTTTATAGCATGAAGCTGTGTCAGGGGAGAGTGAGGCTGGATAACAGGGAAAGGTTCTTCCCCCAGAGGGTGGTGGGGCACTGAACAGGCTCCCCAGGGCAGTGGTCGTGGCCCCAAGGCTGCCAGAGCTCAAAGAGCGTTTGGACAATGCTCTCAGGACAGGGTGGAATTGCTGGGGTGTCCTGTGCAAGGCCAGGATTTGGACTGGATGATCCCTGAGGGTCCCTTCCAACTCAGCATATTCTATGGTTCTATGATTCTTAGGGTTTAATTCCTCACACAACCTGTAAGGAATCAGCACGAGACACCAGGTCCCTCATGGTCAAAACCCAAGGGGAGCTTCACTGGCTTTCAAGGAGTTCTCTTGAAGTTGACTGTTGCAATAACAATTCAGATAAAAAATACTTTACAGACTCCTGCCCCTATGGGAATAAAGAGGAATGGCAGAGGAAGCTTCTCCTCCCTGACCCAACACAGCCAGCTGAGCAACAGGGCCCCTTCGCTACCCAGCAAGGACCAACATATCTGACTGGTGTGAGCCCAGCTCCTCCACAGCACAGCCACCACCATTCCCTGTCTGCACGAGCTGCTGGGAGATTGGGAATGGGAAAAGTCCTGCAGGGGCTCAAAGGAAGCCAGACAGGAGCTCAGGGATGCAGGAAGCCTGTGCTGCCACTGCGCTTCCACAGCCCATCCTCAGACAGGCCTCCACCTGCTTGTCAGTTCTACTCTAACCCATATCTGCAAGTATTAATAAAAAGATATAAAAATACAAAAGTGGCCACAGCTGTTCAAACCCACAGATTTCAGTGACATTCACAAGCAAAGCAAATTCTGGAGTCACATTACCAACAGGGCCACACATACAGGACTGAGAGGTGCTGAGACAGCTACTCATGAGTGACTACAAAAACCTCCTACTAAGGAAAAGGAATATTATTTCATGTTTATAAAAATGTAAATATAACAGTATTCTATGCATGTGTCTAGTTATTTATATATAATAGATATGACTCCCTATATACATATATATAATCCTAGAATATACAGGCAGTGCATATTTACATTCCTATACAGAATGTGAGAGGAAAAGCCTCTCCTCCTGTGTAACCCCTCTGAGCCCCCCACTCCACTAGAGAATTTTACAAGTTCCCTTTTACAGGAGTTTGCCCCCTGCTGTATTTTTCTTTGTATCTAAACACATTTATCCCATTTCCAACCCTGACCCTCTTGCTCATCCTGGAGCAGTGGGCACAGACTCCCTGCACAGGGCACCACAACTGGCATAACTGGGCTGAGCACAAACAATCTGCCCCAAAAGACTAACTAAGCCCAAATTAAAACAAAACCCTTGAAAAAACACAGCATCTCAGTGCTGTTTCCTTTTAGTTTCTAAAGAACAGAGCTGCTCCCAGTGTTCTGGACCACAAAACCCACTGACTCCTTGAAAGTCAATTTTACACTAATGAGAAGTCACCAGTATTTCCTCTTTGCATCTTCCACCTACAGCTCAGAGCATGCCAAGCAATTCCCTCTCCTTGTTCCTGCTTCTCCCATTCAGACAGTGCTCCCTGCACTCCTCTCATGCCATGCCCCTAGAAAAGGAACCAAACAGTTTTCCAAGTAGGGGCACAAGAAATCAGGAATAAAAAACTGTTCAGACACGTTTTCCTTTTAAAAATTAGATCCTAAATCAAAATCTCAATACAAACTTCAAAAAAAAAAAAAGTTGCAAAGTTGCAACTTATCCAAATGAGGGGAATGTCCACTGACAGAGCTGCCCAGACTTGGCACTTCGAGTGAAAAACCTGCCAATGTTTAACTGCTCAGGCCTTATTTTATCTTAAAACTACATGGGAAGCAACCACCCTGTCAGTGATTAGAGGTAATTATAATAAATGATTGGAGATTCAATATCCACTTCAGAACTGCCAGCCTGGAATTGCTTCTTGAACTAGATTTGTGTTAAAATAAGAGCAAAGCATTTGGCTCGCTGAAAGATCAGGCAGTGAGGAGGCAATTAATAACAACTTGCTAATTAAGCACAAAGCACCAGTAAGGCCCTGCCAGAGGAGACATTCAGCTAAAACTGTGCATTAAGTGTTGGGTGTGTGATTTTTGTGTCTCTTGTGCACACTCACAATGTAAAAGTGGCCGAGAGAACGTGTGTGGACGTGGGGCTGTGCCTGGCAGGTTCCTCTCCCTAAATCCTCACCTGTCCCCACAAACTGTGCTCTGATACCCCCCCACGGAGGCTTGATTTACAGAGACTAAAACCTCAGGATCTTCCTTCTCAGCCAATGGGACCAGACACAGTACCAACAATCCGTGTGCTCCGGGAGAGCAGAGGGGGAAACACAGGGATCAAACAAAGCAGATAAAGCTCCACCGACCAATCTCAACTGCTTAATTACAGAAGAAAATGCTCAGGACTCTGGTAAAACACAGATGTGGCTCCTGTGACATCCTGCAGCCTGTCCTTCAGCTCTTTTTTGGCTGATCCAATCCCTCCGTCCTCTGAAATAGCTCTGAGCACATGCCAACCGCTGAGCGACCTCTTCAGTCACAGACAAATACTTTTTGTAACCAAATCACATGTTCAAAGTGTTGTACATTTAAACATTGACCTAAAATGAACAGGTAAATCTAACACGAGGAAAGGAGGTGTTTCCAGAAGGGAAAACTGGGATAGCACAGCCCTTGATTGGTTTGTTTTGTACATCTTTTTCTCTTCTCTTCACAAGCGATCTCAAACAAACCCACAATTCAAACATACTGCCTTGGAGCTGTGGCAGTCCTGGGATGAGGTTCTCTTCTGGGCACCCATCCTGTTCCATGGAGAATTGGTCCCTGGTGACTTGGCATTGACCAACATACAGATACACCCCTTCGGAACAACAAACAAACTGAAGCAGCACAGAGTGAATTGATCATTCCTGTCACTTCTCCTGTGTATGATGGCCCCAGGTGACACCCAGCAGCTTGTCCTGGGAAATGCATCCTGCAAACACCGTCAGTTCCTTTTCCAATAACTGGCTACGGACTTCCATGGCCCTCTGGAAGTTGTTTCAGTCCATAGTTCTCAGTCTGAGCCCCACACAGCATTTGGTCACTGCTGTGAGGCTGCTGCTTTCACATCATGAACCATTACAAGATGTTGTTAATATTTTGTCTTAGCAGGGGAAAAAAAAAAAAACAAAACAACAAACCCACAAAAAGAAAAAAGTCTGGTTGGGGTTAAAGCAGCTCTGGACATGATGCAGCAGGGAATTTGTTTTGTCATGATTAAAATTTTTGAAGTTTGAGCATAATTATAAATTAAGAGTTAAAACACAGAGGCGCTAATAATAAAATATTAAATAGGCAATGAGAGTGGAGAAAAGCTGAATGGCTCATTCTGAGGGAAACCCCGATATTTCATATTTTGTATAATCCTAAATGCCTCTGGGTTTCCTTCCCAGACTGTGAGTAAGGGACACACCGAACACAGAGCGAAGCTTCTCATGGCCAGCTGGACCAACACTGCCTGATGGAATGGCGAGAGATGAACACGTTATTTATGTTGCAAAAAGTACTTAAATACTCAATAAAGACATAACAAACCCCACCCCACCCCACTGTTATCAGACGCCACGTTGTGGTAGAACATCAGACAAACTCACAAATTTACCACAAAAATGTGTGGCAAAAAGAATATTTTATATATATGTATATATATAAATTTTTTATATTTATGCCAATGTACTCACTCAGTACAAATAGCAAAATAGTTATACCATTTCCTAAATACAAAATATAGCTTTCCAAAAAAATGAAACACACATTAGATATAAACCATCCAAAACTTGAACGATTGAAAACTGTATTCAAAATTAAATGACCCAGAGCAGGTCTCTTTCTGAAAAGTTCCCTTCATATCGGCAAGAAGCCTTACTACTGAAAACGTAATTCAATGCCTCTCAATGAGAGAGAGAAAGAGAGAGACAGAAAGAGAAAGTGAACGTCGTGACAGACCCACAAACAGGGAAAATCCAGGAAAACCAACAAAAACTCTACACGGCTCAACTACGCACACAAGGGGAAAACACACAGTAAACAGACTTGAGGAACTTAAAAAAAAAAACCATTTACAGACTGTTCTTTTGTTATTTCAAATAACAAAAATGAAAAATGACGTGACACCAACTACACTCTACGAGGCGTTACGGCCGCCCGGGGAGCGGGAGGAGAACACGGATCTGAGCGAGGCTTTAGTGAGAGATCACAAACTGTCCCGAGAGTTGAAGCACCCAAAAAATTCACATGCCTCACAATACACCTGCATGGTCTGGAGTGGGTTGTTTTTACATTCGGTAACAATAGTCAATGATTTATTTCTGAATTAAACACGACAATCTAGAAACCAGACTTGGGGCTTGGTGGTAGAAAAAGGAAAAATCACTTCAGAACTGCAATGAGCTCCACGTGCTACAGAGATGCAACAGCTCAGGACGAAGTGATGTTTTAAGAAGGCTTAAAAATGATGCAATTTGCCCCCTACTTGGAGTAAAGCCAAGCTGAAGATTTCCATCAGTCACAGCTGGAAAATGGCAGGTTAAGGGGGATTCCTGCATTTAGAAGGTGGTGGGGAAATTGCTTCCTCCCTCCTTACTCCTTGATTATTTATCAAAGCTTCTACTGACTAAGCAATTTACTGCCAAGGATTCCTAAAAGCTGCTTCTGAGCTTTAAAGCCAGTAGGATATTTATGTCTTTTCTTTAAAAACACAGTATGAAACTGAGGGAGAAAAGGAGAACCATGGAAAGGATGAAAGGGAGAAGGCTGGTTTGGGAACAGCTAATGAGACTTTACAGAGCTCTAACCCATCAGTCAGAGTGAGAGACACAGAGGAGTTCCTTCCTCAGCCAGAATGTTCTTTACAAGCTGAAGATGTTTTAGAGGAGAAAATTTTAAGAGCAACTGGAAGTTCCCCTTCATTTCTTCATTCTGCAGAGCCACCAAACCCTTGCTCTATGTACAGCTAAGAGATGTGGAAAATTGTTAATCCCATTCTCAGATGGGAATTGCTCACCTCTGGCTATCTATAGCAACAATTCTCTGCTTGGTTATATCAATATTTTCAATTAATAAATCGCAGATTTGGCTGTCCCACTCCATGTCAATTGTGAGACTCCATCACTTACTGACAGCTGAGACACAGCTCATGTCACAGGAAACTGCTGTTCCTGCTTCATGAGCTTTCCTAGGCAAAAGAGGGGATGTGAAGAAGGAAGAGAAGGGGAAAAAAGTAAACATGGTAACATGGATTACCTTCTAACAACAATAATAACTGACCAGATATGCTTTAAATTCAAAGAGCCCCCACGGTAATGAGGTTTAGGAACCTGGTAACAGCCCAATCCCATGCCCCAGTAACACAAAGCATAACTCCTCAGCATTATTGGCACTACAGAGCCCAAATTCCATGGCTGTGGCCCCAGGTCTGCCACTGGCCACGTGTGTGCTCTTTAGAGAGGGCCACTTTTCCACAGAAGCAATCAGTTCCACGCAGCCTAATCCAGAGTCGGAAGGTCTGAGAGGATCTGGGAAATCGTCGGGTTTTTTTCTTCACAGAATTTCTGCAGGAGAAAACAAGCAGAAAAGTAATGCACAGCTAACCACAGTCATCCTCTTACTGCTGTGTAGTGCCTTCATCTTCAAAGTGTTCCTCATGACTAGCAGCAAACTGGGGGTGAGTAGCAAGAGAAGGCTTTGTGGAGATCTTAAAGCCAGTACCCAAAGGGGGCTTCCAAAAGAGCTGTAGAGGGACTTTGGACAAGGGCCTGGAGTGACAGAGCAACTGGGAATGCCTTAAGCTGAAGGAAGGCAGGGTTACATTAGTTATTAGGAAGAAATCCTTCCCTGTGAGGGTGGTGAGGCCCTGGCACAGGTTGTCCAGAGAAGCTGTGGCTGCCCCATCCCTGGAAGTGTCCAAGACCAGGCTGGATGGGGCTTGGAGCAACCTGGGATAGTGGAAGGTATCCTCGCCCATGGCAGGGGGTGGGATGAGATGGTCTGTAAAGTCCCTTCCAATCCAAACCATTCCATGATAGGAACACAGCATTCTTTCCTATTGCAGAATCACTCTCCTTCCACTCTTCTTCCTTTTGCCTTTTTTTTTTTTTTTAAGAAAATTTCTAACTCCATATACAAACCCCTTTAATTTAAAAAATTACATTTATCACTTAAGTGAAACTCGTGGGGGATTTAGGATGGCATCACAGTTAGCCAGGGCCAAGTTACACGCCACAACCCACACTAGATTCCAGACTCCTTACAGTTCTTGGTGCTCACCTGTAGTCAAAGCCTCTTCCCCCCCTCTGAAAAAGGCACCCTCTAAAAGCAGGATGTTTCCCAGTAACAGTTGATGGTGTCAGCACGTTTCTGGCACAGCCTCAGCCTGTGGCACACTCAGGGCCTGCCATATTCCACCAAAACTTGTTTTCACACTACGTTATTATAACCCAGGGGGCAAGTTCAGAACACTTCAGACTTGAGGTGTTTGTTTTTTATTCAGTAAGTCTCAAGTTTTTAACTGCAGTCACATTTCATAAGCCTGTCAAGCTGTCAGTGATCCACTCTCCTTCCTAACAAAATACTTCCTAACAAAAGGCTGACAGCAGATGACAAAACATATGAGAAGTGAACAACAGGCCCAGCCTCAACCAACTGCTGCATACAAATTCTGACTTGGTTTAATAACTTAATTCTGGTGTGATATTCTTAATTCAGCATCACTGGTGATTTAGCTGACCTCTTAAAGCACAGTCATACACTCCAAGGTAAAAGTGTACTGTGCAAAAGCATAGGTGTGGCAGGACAGAACTCAGACACTCAACCTCTACACTTACTTGCCAGATTAGAAGGAGCCAGCCATGTTGTTCCCCTGGTTTTGCAAGGACACGAGCAGATCATCAATTTTCTCCATGTTCTGGTTGGGTGCCATCGCCGGCGGCAGCGGCGCCGGCTCCGAGATCTGCTGGGACAGGAGCGCCGGCACCGCCGCCTGCCCCTCGCCCTGGGGCTGCCCGGGCTGGCCCATGGCCATCAGCTCCTCTGGCAGTGGGGCTGGCCCCGAGGTGAGCAGCTGGCCACAGTCTGGGGGCAGGAAGAGAACACAGGAACATTTCAGTGAGGGTAAGTCCAAGCACACACTTGGGCACAACCACAGCAGAGCTGCAACAACCTGTTGTACCATCACCTGCACCTCTCACTTCTGGGGCTCCACAGCTACCTACAGACCTTTACAAAGAAAGTATCTACATTCCACAGAACTTGTCATGGAAGCTAGATCCAGACAGGGCATAGGGGAAACCGCACTTTAACCGACATTTTTCTGGACTACACAGCTCCCGAAATCCTTGCTTTCCTTCAAGTGTGTGGACAAAGCCAACACGCATATTGTGGAAACCAAATCCAGCAAGAGAAATGCTCTCTCAAGAGAGCACAATCATTCCTAGATTAGATATTAAGGAGCAATTCTTCCCTGTGAGGGTAGTGAGGCCCTGGCACAGGTTGTCCAGAAAAGCTGTGGCTGCCCCATCCCTGGAAGTGTCCAAGGCCAGGTTGGACAGGGCTTGGAGCAACCTGGGATAGTGGAAGGTGTCCCTGCCCATAGCAGGGGGGTGAAACGAGATAAATTTTCAGTGCCCCTTCCCACCCAAACCATTCTATGATCTATGAGAATCTCTTCCAAACTGCAAGCTCAACATGGGGCACTTGTCACTCACTGTTTTGGATGCCAAACAGGAATATTCCTGATGTCTGCTGGGATGACGCAGGGGAATTCTGCAGCTGGTTGATGGCACCTCCTGCTGTGTTGTGGAACAAAGGGGCCTGTTGCTGGGGAGGAGAGGCAGTTCCTGGCATTCCTGCCATGCTGTTCTGAGAGGAGTACATGGGAGACTGCTGCAGCTCCGGCTGGCTCATGCTGTTCTGCAGGGCAGACATGGAAGCTGAGGAGATGAACAGGGTGACTTGTTGCTCTTGAGAACTTGGGGACCCTTGGACCAGCTGAATCTGGGGCGAGTTATGGAAGATGGTTGGCTGCTGTGCTTCGGCCTGGTTGGAGCCAGGATTCTGGAGAGAAGACACTGGGGTCTGACTCTGGAATTGCATGGGCTGCTGCTCCTGGTTCATCGATGCCATGTTCGTCTGTGGATGGAAAATGGACTGGCCTTGTTGCTCCTGGTTGGTAACTGGGTTTTGATTAGGATTGAAAATCATGTTCTGCTTTTGAGAGGCCATGGTACCCATTGCGCTTTGATTGCTGAACATCATGTTCTGCTGCTGCTGCTGCTGCTGTTCTTGCGCTGGAGGACTGCTCTGGATAGCAACGATCGAATGCTGAGGTTGGAAGATGGCTCCTTGTTGGTTCTGAGGGATGGAGCTGGACTGGATGGAGCCCAACGACACTTGAGACTGAAACAAACCCTGCTGAGCAGGCTGGGTCTGAGGCTGCTCCTGGGGAAGCATGGAACTCTGGATATGAGATATCTGGGTCTGCTGCTGGAAAGAAGTCTGCTGTTCAGTGTTTGTTGCTGTCTGAAGAGAAGAAATGGAATTTGGGCTTGTAAAGAATGACATCTGTTCTTCCTGAGTGGCAGGGTTGCTCATGGAACTCTGGGAGAGGAACATGTTGGCAGACTGCTGGTCTTGAGGAACCGAGGAGCTCTGCAAGACACCCATGGCATTCTGAGAGTGGAACATCGGGGGCTGCAGTTGGTCAGAGGAGTTAGTGTTGGTCTGGTTGTGGACAATGGAATTTGAGCTATGAAAAAGAGAGCCTTGTGTTTCCTGGGATATATTCTGAGTATCACCAATAGGATTCTGAGAGTGGAAAAGCTGAGCCTGTGAGTGTGGAGACTGCTGCATGAAGCTTCCTGACTGGATCGACATCATTTCCCCACCTTGCTGGAACAGGCCCCCCCCTTGCTGCTGAGTCCCACTCGCCTGGACACTCATCATGGTTTTGGTAGATGAGAAGAGATTAACCTGGGACTGACTTTCCCCACCGTGCTGCATCTGAACCATGGTTTGAAACACAGAGCTCTGCATCTGCTTACTCTGTCCTGAAGCCTCTTCTCCATCTGCAGAATTGGATGCCTGGAACATGGCAGGGCCGTTGTTGGAGACCTGCTGCTGAGCAGGGGCAGCTGCCTCGCTTCCCGAGACACCGGGGGACGAGGAGAATAATTCACACTGCATTTGCATGTCTTCATTAGTTGATAACCCACTCATCATGTGAGAAGCCTGCTGGTACACCGGGGACTGCTGCAGGGCTCCGTTCCCCGACGTTGTGGAGGAGAACAGATCCGACTGCATCGGCGTGGCCGCCGGGCACATGTTCTGCTGGATCCCGATCACCATCGCCGCCGACGTCTCCATCGCCTGCTGCTGCTGCTGCTGCTGCTGCTGGGGGTTGGACAGGGAGTTCTCAGGCTGAGAGTGAACGTTCTCAGCTCGCCCAGGCAAAAGGTTCTCTGCTCTGGAATGGACAGCTGTGTCTGAGGAGGAAAATATCCCAGGATTTACACTATTCTGTATCTGGCTGACCTGCTGAAAGATATCTGCGTTCAGCTGATCTTGGACATCCTCACTGCTGTCTGAACCAGAGAACAGAACGGAAGATAACTGCTGCTGAGCTTCCAAAACCTGCTGCACCAAGTCAACGTTCCTATTGCTGCCAGTGGCAGTGTTGGTCGGAAAATTCCCAGCCTGGAGCTGCTGTATCGTGTTCTGTAACTGACTCACGCCGCTGGCCGATGAGAAGATACTCGATGAAATCTGCTGCTGCAAGGCCTGTGCTGGCTCTGAGAGCGTGGACTGTTGTTGTTGTGATGCATCAGTCAACTGTGACAGAGTCACTACTGTGCCATCCGACTGCAGCACTTCCCTGGTCTGGGAATCCCTCGTTTGGAACTGGGCAGCTTGCTGCAGTAACGCGTCGCTGTTCTGCAGCTGCCCCGGAGTGGACACTGCTGAGAAGCTGCCAGGCTGGGAAATGTCCTGGGTCTGGATCGTGGTCAGGGGCTCTGGGTTGTACACCTTGGGCTGGATTTGCTGCTGGTTTTCACTTTCAGAAGGTAAATGGGAAGCAGAAGTTGATATGCCAGACATGCTGTTTTCCAATGTTTGTTGAGTTGGTCCAACCACATTTGAAGCCTGAAAAGAGCAAGACATTGGGTAATTTATAAATGTAGTTGGGTGATGTTGATAAAATTTCCCCCAACCTCTTATGTCCAGGGAAGATCAGAGGGAGAAGATGTGATGTCTGTGTATCTCTGCAGACATACCCAAACCAGCAAGTAAATGATTACCAGTGGAAATGCTACTTCAAGGACAGAGTTAAGGCACAATTTAATGAAAGCAATGCTAGGAATTCATTAAAAGAATATTACAGTTATTTACTATTTCTGTACCACAGTACAAAAAACATCATCACAGAATCACTATCCAAGTCTGGGTGTAGGAGCCAGGTAAGTTATCTAAGGAACTTGTCTGTTATTTTACTCCTGCTCTGTGATCATGTTTTACCCAGGTTGATCCTGGACATGGCATTTTCCCTGTCTATTACTCTTCTCCACTATTAAAGCATGGACAAAGGGGCGGATGTAACTCAGACTCTCAAAGCTGCTGTTCTCAGCCCCCCACCAAACTCACCTGGAACGTGGGGGGAGAGCGTTTTTCTGCACTTACTTCCATTGGAGCCACATCTTCATTCTTAATCATACTGCTTGGCATGAGTGGAGTTATCAAGGCACTAGGAAGAATGTTCACCTTCTCCAGGTTACAGCCTGAGGCCTTCACTGCTGCAGCCACAAATACAACGCATTAGATCACTTTAGCATTAATTTTAATCTCACAGAATCAATGAATGGTTTGGGTTGGGAGGGACCTTAGAGGCATCCATTTCCAATCCCCTGCCACAGGCAGGGACACCATCCACTAGAACAGGTTGTTCCAACCTGAACACTTCCAATAATTTTTTCTGGTCCACATAAAAAAATTACATTAGATATCCCAGATCTTTCCTGTAAAGAATTAACCTTTCTGATTTCAAATACTGCTGAAACTGGGCTTAAACTAAACCAACGGGAAAGCCTGCAAAAACCATCATTCCATAAGTCCTTTCAAGTAAATTAAAGCATTAATCCTCAATGTAAAGCAACAGATCTCCATGCTTTAACCCAATTTAAACCTTACAATAAGGTGGCAGTAAAATTTCTGCGCAAGTATATGAAGTGGGGAAGGACAGAGCAGAGACAAAGCACATAAAGCACATGAAACTGTCTGACCTCTGGTTCATGATCAACCTGGAGCAGAACAGGTACAGGAATGAACTGTCACAAAAGAGCTGGTAAGCAGAAACCCACATGAGAAGGTAAACTCAGATTTATTGCATAAATTAAATGAGGATATGAAGGAACAGAAATAGCACGTTGTGTTCTGAGGAACAGCAGCTGTTCTCTAGCAGTTGGAATCTTCCCTCAGTGAAGCCTCCACACTAAATTAGATGGATGTCAGGCTTACCCTGTACATTAGTTATTATTTTCCTCATCTTTTCAATCTGGCTACTAGAAATCTTACCAGTACTTTTACCAGCTTGTTTCATTGCCCTACATATTTTTGCATATTTCTCCTCCAATTATTCTCTGCAGGTTTAAACTCATCAGATCCTGTATTATCCTCCCTAACAAGTTGTAAAGTCAACTTGTAAATCCATCCATGCCAAGACCAAGCTCTTAACTTCAAACACGAGCTCTGTGGGTCTCACCTGCAGCCATGGATTCCTATCACACCTGGGATCACACTGCTCACCTTCAACCTGCTTTTCCAGAGCAGGCTGTGGAAATTTCCAGTCATCTTTGTGCACCACTGGAGTCTTAACAGGCAACTAAGAGACATTTCCTTCCTCTATTTCAATACTAGAAGGATCAATTCACACTTAAAAAAAAAAATAGGTAAACCTAAAACTTGTTCTTTTGGAAGGAAACGACAAACTTTGCATGGACAGAATGGTCAGAAAAAAAAGTCCTCACTGATGGGAGTAAGCTGAAACTCCCAGAATTAATGTTTTTAACTAGACCCCCTGAAAGCAGTGTCATTAAACCTATAAAATACAGCTTTTGAAAGACACCAAGTTGCCACATTTGTGTTTTTCAGTGCTCAGTCCTTCCCCACTACCAAGTTTAGGTGTAGTTTTGCCTAAATTAACACTACACAGTTTCTAAATCTTTTTTATTAACTGCTATCTTAGGCTTCTTTTTAGCTCTTCACTTGCAAACATATTAAATAAAGATCAGACTGCAGGGCCTGAGGAATGAAAAATGGGGAGAAAATTTAATATTATTTTTTGCAAAGTTTTTGTTCTATATTCACTCATTAAAACATACTTAAAGGAATACTGTTAAAAGTAAAATATTCAGAATCAGAGAACAAACCTCCCTGTTTGAACGGGGCCAGATTTTATAAGCATGGAGCTATCTCAGGATGTCTGATTCATTGCTCCAAATTTGAGTAAGAATTTAGAGTTAAATTATTAACAACACTGATAAGAATCAATTTACTACCTTTTATAGCCTCTTCAAAAGAACAATGTTGGGCTGGGCTGGAGATTTCCTTCTTCACATTAACATTCAGAGTCCCAGCTGCTGAGACAAAACACATTGAAAACTTCCTATGTTAAATCAGCAAACACGCCAAAACCAAACAAAGCAAACCAAAACAGTTACTTATAGCTTAAAAAAATTCAGGTTCTTTGAAACCCACAAACCTTCGCCCTGTGTATTGTGATATAGATAGATAAATAAACAACAATAGGTGAGGTGGGCAAACTGCAGCTTTCCTCAGGATAAAGCTTGGTGGGATTCCTTGGTTTATTTGGTGCACTGTATGGACTATGTCTATTTTTTTTCCTGTTCAGCTTCATTCTGATCCTTAAACTAGAAATGGATGCTGCTGTATATGAACAGCTGTCTCCATGCAGCAGGAATTTGAGGTATTTACCACATAAATAAGAAAAGTCAAGCCTTCGGATTTTATTATTAGCAGAGCAAACCTCCCATGAAGAGAAGTTTGGAAAGGTCTACGTTACTTAACATTCCTGTGGTATGGATTAAACAGTGAAATGAGAACTGAGATAGTTCAGCAGGTGAAATGCCCACCCCTCCCCAGTCTGTGTGTCACACACCTGGATCTGGAGTGTAGGTAAAGGGCTGCACATCGTGAGATCTCCCAGCGTTGGTCACCACGTATATTCCCACAGAAACAGCTGAGGTTATTTGCTGGTCGTGATATGGTGGCACCTTCACAATAAGGTGATTCTGTAAGGCAAACAAACATCACTGGAAAAAAATCACATTTTATTATTATTGACCTTAATTGTATTTACTTACATCGAAAGAGAGAAATAGACTGATAAACCACCATAAAAAACAAAGCCACTGGGGGAGATGCATGTGTGGGATCTGCCTTTGGAGGTGGGATCAGGATGGCCCTTGTCTGACATCATCTGCATTTAATAATTCTCCAATTTCAGCCCAACAGTCCATAATGACTGCTGTCTTTAATTGTGTCAAAAAGAATAAACAAATATTCTGTAAAAGATTTCACAGTGGAACAGAAATCCAGCCAGGTACAGCTCTGGTGTACACACAATTTATTTCCTCTCAGTAGTAACTCAATGTGTCCTTAGGAAAACTGCTGGAAAAACTGAATTAGGCATTTTAATTCTATTGTATGTAAGGGCAAAGACCTGCTCACCAAACTGTGGTACCCAGCTTCTCAATGAGAAAGGGAACAACTATACTTGTGTAAACCCAAAATTATATTCTGCCAGACTCACTGTAGAACTTATGTGAAGAAAAAAAATATTATTTCTAGAAAGGCACAGCAAGAGGGAAAGGCTTTATTGATTTTTCTCTGGAAACAGTCAGAGTATTTTGTAATTAAAAATATAATAATAATAGCAATAATAGCAACAATAAGAATAGTAATAATAATAATGGTAGTAGTAATAATAATAATAGAGGAGTACCTGATGAAATAATTCCATATCTATTTCAGCTTCTGCCTTCCAGGAATTCTCATCTAAATGAAAATTAAAAAGCAGAGTTTATTGCACGTGCAATAGAGCAGTTTATTTTCGTGCCCTTGATTCTGCTCCTCAGTTTGCTCTCCACAACTGAGCTTTACCAAGCAATGGAAACCCCAACCCCACACTCTCCTCAGCACCCCAAGCCAGCACGGCTTTCACACTAACCAGAAACATTCTCTTGGAAAATCACTTTTGTTCCCTTTAGGAAGTTCTTGCCAATCAGAAAAACTTCCTCTTCACCCTTCACTGAACAGCTGTGGAGACTTTTCTTTAGGATCTCTGGAACTCCCGCTGGTTGAGCTGCAAGGAAAAAACAGTTTGAAATCAAGAAAACATCAACATCCAAACCAAACCACTTTTACTTATAGAGTGATGAAGTAAAAAACAAAATAATTCCTGATCTTCCTCCTTCACTACATCATCCATGACTAACTCTTCAGAAGATAACCATTTCTATTATTTCCTCACAAAAATCACACTTTGGTCAATGATTCACTAATAATATTTTCCTTTTCCTCCTGCCTTTATTAAATCTTCTAAATGAAACTTTCAGTGTTGGAGCCAAAGCTCAACAAGTGCCCAGAAGAGAAGAAAACACGGTGCTGTAATTCCCTGGTATAGACAGAGACAAACAAAGGTCTCAGCCCTTGGCCACATCTGAAGCCCCCCTGCAAATTCAGCCTTAAGATCATAAAAAACTTAGTTTTTTACAAAGATTATTTTATTTTGCTCTGCAAAAGGGCAGAAGTGGTAATTGCCCTATTACCTGGGGGGGTTTACACTTGGGTTTTTTTACATGACATAAGTTTTCTGGCTGGTGCAAGAACCCAGGGCTTGGGGCAACCTGGTCTAGTGGAAGGTGACCCTGTCCATGGCAGGGGGTGGAACTGGATGAGCTTTAAGTTCCCTTCCAAATCCTTGCAAGAGTCCCATTGCTGCAGTTGGGGATTTTAGCAATTTATATCAAATAAATAAGCAAAGAGGATGTGGTTTCCAGACACACATCACTGGACACCTCTGTGCCAGCGACTCAGATGACAATTTATGTAACACTTATCACCAACCGTCTTTTCTGCAAACCATTCCTATTCTTCTAAAAGCCTAAATCATGTAAAACCACACATGTTAAATGAACACTACAGGCAATTTAAACAGACATATATTTTAAAATAACGTGCTTTGACACACTTAGAATAAAATAACTGCAGTTTCTAACAAGGGTTCCCCAGCCCCCTTTCCCACTCCCCATAAATCCCTAGGCACATGCTCATGCTCGTGCTCTGCACTTGCATGGCCCACTTTGAGTGTTTAATAAAAATATTCTCTGGGCTTACTACACAGCACAACATACATCCTGTACCACTCTAAATTATTTAATGACCTTTCAGAAAGGATTTCTCTACAACTCTCGCAGAGGGTTCCCAGGCAACCGTTACGCAACGACTGAATATGCTCAAGGCACATGAAAAGAGTAACTGGATTTAGGTTTGCTAACAAGTTAACAAAGCCTATTTAAAATACAGACCTTAAATAAAGAGCCTGCAGCTACTTAACGCCTTTTCTGTGGTTTCAGGAACATTATCAGTTATAAAACACAACATAAATGGGCTCTGACGAGGGAAAATGCAAACCTTGTTGAGAAGGCACAGCACACATCTGCAGTAAGGTATATGCAGCAAACAAACCCGGTGTAATGTGCTTGAGGGGATGATTTATATGAACAATTTAATAAACAACATTATTTTATGCCATTTTGATCAGCCAGGACATACGTGCCAGCACTACTAGGTTGGCCAAGGTCTACTGCAAGTCACCATAACTTCAGCATAAGCTACAACAGAAGCACAGAATCCTGGAAAGAGTCTCAGGACTTCCCCTCTCAACCCTCACACCATGATCAGCGTTACCCACATATTCCCCAAAGGTGCAAGTCTGATCAGAGTATTTTGCTCCTTTGTTTTAGACTTCCAGCATACAAAATTCCTGGGCAATCCCTTAGCAACTCACACAATTGAGAAGATTTTCTTAGCAAGTGACCAAACCCCAGCTTGCCAAAAACTAAACCAATTTACTCTTTACTGCATCAAATACAGCTTTTTTCAGCTAAACAGCCTATTTTAAAATCAGTCTCTAAATGTTTCACCTCAGACTCTCAGCTTCTGCTCACAATAGTAAGGTTTGGACTGTTTAAGGAAATGGCAGGGGGGTGGAACGAGATGAGCTTTACGATCCCTTCCCAACTAAACTGCTCCATCCTTCTGTGATTCCCTTTTCCTCGTTGGTCAGTGGAACCTCCTCAGCCAAGGCAGCCAGCTGTGCTTGTGCTAAACAGAGCATTTATAAAAAGTTTTGTTCTTGCACTGAACCAGAACGGATTCAGCCTCTGGTCCATCCAAGGACCACTCAGAATGCCAGGCCCGCTGACTTACCACAAGTCCTTTCTAGCACTGAAAGCTGATGGATGAATGTGACATTACAGAAGAGATTAAAAGTTGTATCAAAAAGTCACTATTCGAAGCAACTATGACAAAAATTGTGAAATTTTAAGAGGCAAAAATTAACTTCATTGAAGAGCATAAATATATAACTATTTTTAAATAGAGGTCAATAATTTTAACTAATACCCCACCCCAAATAAAAATCAATCTATGTAATCTAAACTACAGCAATTCTGAAATAATCATTGATTAACATGGGGTGTTTTCTTCCCCCAAGGCATAAAATCACAGAATCATTTAGACTGTAAAAGAGTCCAAAGACCACCAAGTCCAGCCTGTGCCCGATCCCCACCTTGTCACCCAGCCCAGAGCACTGAGTGTCACATCCAGTCATTCCTTGAGCACCTCCAGGGATGGGAACTCCATCACCTCCCTGGGCAGCCCCTTCCAATGCCTGACCACCCTTTCTGTGAAGAAATCACACTAAACCCCAGACTCCTCTAAAATCAGCGTTCTGGTTTGATACTCACTGCACAGAATGGGGGAAGAAGGCGTCTGCAGGGTCAGAGTGGAGCCGTCCTTGCGCGTGATGTTGACGCGAAAGACCAGCCGGGCGCGTGTGCTCTTCTTCTTGGACCCGGCAATCCCTATCCTGGCTTCAACATCAGCATTCCTCAGCTTCAGGATTCCCACACAATCAACCCTAACAACACAGAAGAGTACAGAGTTGAATAGTTTATTAAGTTCAGTATCTTAAATAATCTTTCAAGAAGTTCCATAAGCCACCAAGTCAAAAGTCTTGAAGTAATTACTGAAATGTTATTAGATTATTTTTATTTATATGAAATCTCTCTACGACCTTTCTCCTTTTTCAATTCAACCCTGCATAATCTGGATGATGAATCATGGGAGAACAGCATATGAAAGCACGAACAGAATAGAAAATGCAATATAATTCTGGTAAGCATTCAATTTAGAATCACAACTCTTCATTCTTCCATCCCTGGGCCGAGATCTGGGTTTGTAGGATTATTGCTACAAAATATTCTGCATTCACTTAAAGAAAGCAGGAGTAGAAGAAAACTTACTGTAGTCATATTATTTTTTAAGTTCAGTGGGGCTTGGAAGTGACAGATACGTCCTACTGTAAGTGTGGTCCTGGGGCAGACGTACAGGGCCAGGTGAGAGATGCAGTGCTGGCTTTCAGAGACAAATGCTCCATGGAAAATTATTACAAGCAAAAAACAGTCAAAAAAAAAAAACCAAAAAAACCCAAAAAACTCAAAAAAAACCCCAGAAACACAGCGTGATGTGTTGAAAAGAAGAACATTGTAATTTAATCAGGATTTTGGGCTCTATGTCGAAAAAGTACAGGGACCATCTGATATCTGAGTACAATAAACTTCAAGCAAGAGCTGAGGAGCAGAGAGGAGGGGACAGTGTGTTTCAGACAATGCCACTACTAGCATTACCTTTAACAGAGGTGCTACAGCAGCACTGAAATATCAGCAAATTTTCTTTAGAGACATCAAGATATCATGAAAAACAGTCCAGGCAAAACTCTTCTTCCTAGATAATTCCACTTCCTAGTATTGCTATACTTTATATGGTTGTATTTGACCATCTTAAAAGTCTTTTCCAACCTTAACAATTCTATAATTCCATGATTAATGCCTGAGGACAATTATAAAATTATCCTCTAAGAGACAGTTTCCAAACTTACAGGAATAAATTTTTTACTAAAAGAGAATCAAACTGACTCAGTCAATCTGCAAACTGTATTATCCTGCTTAGGAAGCAGACATTGTAAATTGAATAAAGGTTTCTTCTCTTGATACAAGTTTCCAGGTGCAGAGTGGCAGCTTTCAACCACAGAGCCATTACAAAATAGCTGTTCTACTGACAAGAAGACTTTGGAAGATCACTGCCTTCCTGTATATTGATACATGTGAAAAGCATAGTAGGGAATCACTTCTATTTGAAGTGTCCTTTCCGTGAGATCAAAACCACAAAAGCAGATGAATCCACTTTTCAAAACTTCCTGCTGTGACCCACTGTCATGAGCCCCTTCCCAGGGGTCACGTACTGCTCTCATGCAGCTGTATCCTGGCTCCAAAACCCCACCTGTGCTGGACCACACCAGCTCTGTCAGGATGGGCAGAACGAGCAAAGCAAGAGAGCAGAAAAGCCACAGTCTTGCTTCATTATCCACAACTCCCAGTTTTTTGGGCCCAATATTCTCCATCCCTTTTCCAAGCAGCAATTCTGTACTTGTTCAAAGCCAACCAACCAGCAGAACAGTGATGGCTATAATTCACCTAATGCTTGGATATGCACATTACTGATCAATCAGGGACAGGAAACCAACCTAACAAAGTTAACTGACAAAGTCTAAGGAAGAGCAGACTAAGCATGAAGTATAATAAACAAACTGAGAATGTGATTTAAAAGTTTTTCTATCCAAGTGCCCTCACTCAGTGCCCGGTGTGTGCCAAGATGGTCACACTTTTAACTACCAACCCATCCAATAGAAAAAGGAAACCTGTTCCCAAACCCAAGCTCATAAGCGAAAATACTTATAAAAAAAGCTACTCACGCCAGTGTCATGTTGTTGCTTGGGTCCAGCCCGACCTCGATGACTGTGGTCCCCTCTATGTCCACCTCCTTGCAGGGGGTGGTGTTTCTCCCAGTGACTCTGCAGGCCTGGTAGAACCCGTGCGGCTTCACACGCCCGGAGTCGTTCCCCACAAACACCTGCAGCACCACCGGCTCGTTGTGACCCTCCAGCTGAAATAGGCCAGTGGTTAATTAACAAGGAGGGATTTCTTTAATTATTATTGTTAATATTCTGGTTTTAAACCCCCTTGAATCCTATCTATCTTCAGGTAGAATGATCCCAACTGCAACTCTCACATCTCTTACGACCCCTCACTCTCACCCCAACCATGACTAGAATTCTCCTCTCCCCACAATGCATCTGTGTCCACCAGTCAGCCCAGAAAGAGAACATTTGCTGGGGTTGCCTCCAAAGGTGATTAGAATTTGTTGGTCAATATGTTCATGCCCATTAATCACTGGCATTCCAGAATCCCACCTTCACACCAGATGCACTTTGACACCAGATTAAAACTGTCCAACATTTGCAAAACCACTGGAAAAGTCAGAACAGGATGAAGGGGAAGCAGAGGTAAGAATGGGACAATCCAACTGCACAAGCCCAGCTTTCTCTCAGACAATAAAATAAAAATGGTAACTTGACATCTCCTACTTAAAAGTTTATGAACAGTGTCAGAGTTTGTTGAAACACTTCGTAAGTAAAAGCAGGTCAGACATTTTAACATCCTCCTGCAATCCCATGTGAAAGCCAAAATTATTCCAGAACATGTCAGTGAAAAATACATTCATAAAATACATTCATGAAATGTTTGTGTCCTTTCAATGCTTTTTTTATTAGAGGAATTCCCCTGTGGTGCCACAGACTAAAAATACTCTGAGGTAAAAGAAGTTCTAAAGTAAATCTGGACATTGCATTTCAAAGAAACCTTTCCTTCTTTTTAGGAAATAGTTAAGAAAAATACTCCAAGTAAAAAGAAACTCTAGATTGCTGACAAATTCCCAGGCCAGAGACGGCATTCCTTTGCCAGAGAATTCTAAGAGGAGGTAAAATTACTGTTTTAATGTTTTCACTACAACACATTTGTTGCTTGAGGATTTCCAGGTGACAATGTTGTCTTTTGTCCCAGGCCTAGAAGTCGAGGCAATACCTGCAGAAAGAAGCTCCATTTTTATTAGTAAGGAGATGCAAATGAGAGCAGAGGCCTCTGGAGGATCTCCTGGGGGACTAGTCCCTGAATACACTCTCAGAAAACGTAGTTCTGCAGTTGTTAACAAGTTCAAATAAAGGAAAAAAAAAATCAGCAAACACTGATAAAATCATTGTGTGCTCCTCAAGTCCAGGAGGGGCAAACAACAAATGTGAGTGTTACAGACAGGCAAAGCCAAAAGATGTCTGGAGATGGCCCAGCACAGGCTCCCAAAAGGAACCACAGAAACAGCAAAGGGCTCAACACCTAGTCACTTGATTAAGGTTTGTTTATACAATTTTAACATTGCATACTGATTGTGGAACTCAAGTTCTAAGTTGTCAAGAACAGAGTTTTATTTCAATGCCACAGAACTTGCTTCTCCCCCTCAGCCTATGTAAGAGCGATGCACTGGAGCGACTCCCAAACACCAGATCTCTGAACCACCACTGTTTTTACACTATTCCTCCCCATCTTTAAACCCCATGAACAAAACAAAAAGCCCTCTTGTCCTTAACATATTTTTTTCCCACCAGCTCAGATTTCCTGAAGATTCACTGACTCATTTGCCTGTGCAGTCCTGGCAGAGTTTTATCTGCAGGGTATGAACTCGTCTGCCTACTGGTAAAGCAAACTGGAACTTCCAGGAATTCAGCAACATGAGACTCTTCCAAACAGATTTTTCACTGATGGGTGCTAAAGGGTAACTGGGAAAGGAATTAAAAGGAAATTCAGATGAACAAAGGCCCATTAAGAAAATCCACATAAATGAGCACTAAATCCCCATAGCAACAGGCCAATATGAAAGGATTCTTTTCTTATGAAACTCTACTGGAGTTGTGCATTACTCAGGAGGACTGAGTGAAGGGCTGGTGGGGTTTCTAACGCTGCTGAACAGGACTTTGAAGACAAGTCTACTTCTATATTCTGTCAGCAGTGGACAGCACAAATTTAAGGGCTGTATCACAAGCAAACATTTCTTTGTGGACCTGGTAAATTAGTTTGGGTTGAGAACTGCTTATCTATCGCGGCCTTGACATAAAACTTCCCTCCTCCTGTAACTCTGTGATGCCAATAAGACTTTTTGTGACCTGCAAGAGACCCAGTACAGTCTTTACAGCAGAGGAACTGCAAAGCCTCCTCCCTTCCCTCTAAAAGAGAGACTGGAGGCCTGTTTGAACTGAACCTGTTCCCATTCCATTAGAGCACCCCTGGGAAGGGTGTCCCCATGCCCTCAGCCTACCTTCACCGTGGGAAAGCCCTGCTGTGTCCGGTCCTTCACAGAGCCCCGGCTGCCCTCGGTCAGATAACGAGCCCTGTGCTGGGTCTCCGGCTGCACCACAATCTTCAGTTCCTTCCCCTCACTCTTAGTCGGATACTGACCACACAACATTGGGGTCTTCTTCCCTCCAGCTCCCTTCTGGTTCTCTGATGCTCTGGGAAGTCAAAGCAGACCATCAAGAAGATGTTAGAAACAGCTCCCCAGTTAAAACAAACCAAATCACAGAAAAGCTAAAAAGACAAAGGGTGTGTATTAATGGATGGAAGATTTGTAGTGGAGAGCCAACTTTGGAATTCTCTTTTCGACAGTGAAGGAAACCTGCAGGATGAAGAGGAATGGTGCTTCCCTGCTCCTCCATCCAGAGCACATGGGAACTGCTTTTCAGAGAGTAAATATAAAGGAAGGGAAATGTAATTAGCATTAAATGATGTTAATGAACAGAAGGCGGCTCATAACCCGCTTTTTCATAGTCAGTGATACAGCCTGAACAAGCTGTTTCACTGTTGTAACACACACACATGTACACACACACTCTGAATGGATTTGTGGTTAAATGGTACTTTAAACAGGAAAACAGCCTCATGCCTGTCTCCACCTCCACTTGCACATCCATGCAAACTCCAACTCTGATTTCTGTCAAAACAGATTGATAAATTTATGCAGAAACCCAATCAGTTATTGCAAAAGCTCTGACATAACTGCACTGAAGTTAAATCAGGCCTTTCTTTCCAGATGCATTTTGTAGGCCATCGTGTCTTGTGCTCAGTTCCATAATTAAAACTGGGATGAAGGAGTCCTCCAAAGTCTAACAGTACATGAGCCACCTTGTATTCCCTTTAAACCAGGATTTGGTCATGAACCTGAAGTCCAATAAACTCCTTTCACACTAGGAAATGTGAACGTGCCACAGCACACGGTACAGGCAGGAAAAGGGCTCCATGATTTACGCAAATCTCATATTCATTTTACTACCAAAAAGGGGCTTCTAACAGCTAATGCCTGGGAAGAAAGCAGCTTTAAATAACAGGTGTGAATTGCTTAAAAAACAAATCCTGTTTCAATGTGCAACTTACGGAAGTAATTTACTCAGGATTTTTTCCTTCTCAAAAAGGATGAAAAATGCTTTTTCTTTAAAATCATTTACTGGGAGCTTTGCCACTGCAGGAGGTTCTCACTGACCTGGAGCTGGGGTAACCCAGCTCTCTTCCCAATGATTTACACTAACAAACAGGATCAGCACCTTTTCTAAAGCTCCTACTGTGCAAGGACCAGCACATGGACACAGCGTAGGCTTCCCAGTCATTCCCAGGCCTGCTCCTATGCCCCAGGGAAGGCTGGGCACACCTATGCCTCCCCCATTCCCCCCCATCTCATAACTCTGAAAGTCATGGAATTATAGAACAGTTTTGGTTGGAAGGGACCTTTAGACATGATCTAGTCAATGCCCTGCCATGGGTAGGGACACCTTCCACTATCCCAGGTTGCTCCAAGCCCCGTCCAACCTGGCCTTGAACACCTCCAGGGATGGGGCAGCCACAGCTTCTCTGGGAAACTTGTGCCAGGGCCTCACCACTCTCCTTGTAAAAAAGTTCTTCCTTTTATCTACTCTAAGCCAACCCTCTCTTACTTCGAAACCATTTCCCCCTGCCTACAGCAACAGGCCCTATTTGTCACACTCCTATTTCCACTGAGCCTTCCATTAAAACAGACAGAGGTCAGTGCTTTGGATGATCTCCATTCCCATTTTTCTGTCCATAAAGGTTAACCACTTCAACATGGACAGGAGGGTCAGCCTCCTCCTGCTCACCCAGCTGAGCCCTGCCACGGTCCTGGCTGCCCTCCACACTCATCCTCAACCACCAAAGACAGGATCTAGATCAAAACTGGTGTAAATCTCTGCAAGATAATACCATCTTACAGTAAAACCATCTTCCTGCCAAGAAGTCATGATTACTCTGCTTGGTGCAGTCACACAGGCTGCTTGAAAACATAAATACGCCATGCAAAAACATACCTTCCTTTGGGAAAAGGGACAAAACTCTCCTTCAGTGTAGCACATGGAAACCCTGTGATACACTAAATAAACTGTAATTAACACCATCATGCTCTTTGCTTCTATACAAGTTAAGGGAAAACTAATGAAATTCAAGCTCGTTAGACAATCAGTTTCTATCTTCTTGTCAGGACAACCCTCCAAAGGACTAGTAATTACAACGAATACACTTACCAATTTTCAGTCAATATATTTTCATTTTTATTACTTAGAATTTTAAAATAAACCCCTCAGCTTCTCACAGGGAAAGTGAGAAAGAATGCTGGGCAGCCTCAGCAATGGCAACACCACTGCATCCTTCCAAATGCCAGGCCTGGGAGCCAGGGGACACCTTGGCACAGGGAACGCTCCACGGAAAACACCACAGGAATTGCTCACTCTGACCCCGTCACACCGGAAAGTTCCAGCTCTATAAACTAATAGGGAAGGCTGTGGTACAGTTGAATTTTGAAGGGAAGCATTGGAGAGCCAGCCATCAAAATGAAATCCACCTTTACACTCAAAATGTCATGTTTTAGCAGTGTGACATTAACACTGTTGTCTCTCCAAGAGTACTTTACTCATAAATCACAATTACCTTAATTCTCAACAAATTGTTTTATACAGTATCATATTTAAGCAAAGAGATGCTCCCCACAATTATTTTAAAGTCTTTTCTCTAGAAAATTAATCGTTACTTTCAATCAGATTAGCTGAACCTGAGAGCCATTTAAAGCCTTCATCAGAGCTGCTGCGTGGTCTTTCTCCTCAGATTACAAGGATATACAATTTATACATCCTTTTAATTCAGTTTATCCATATTGCTAATATTCACACCTGTACAAAACATTTCATGCACACGCATTTATTAATTTAACTGTTACCAGACAATGTTTCCTCTAATCTAGCACTTCTTTTTTTTTTTTTTTAAGAAAATAAATATAACTGGCAAATCCCAAGGCCATTGGAACAGATCTCCTGAGTTAAGTTTGGCCTGGTCCTGCCCTCAGGGCTGTTCCCAGGGCAGAGCTGAAAGTGAAAGTGAGACCAAGCCCATTGGAAACCTGAGCCCCTGCCCTAAATCACCATCAATTCATCCCTTCTAAAAAGGCCTTCACAAATTCCAAGTTTCCACAGGAATATATTCTTTCTCTTCCTGGCCTTTACAGACAACTGCGTAGAAGTCTCTTTAGAGGCCAATGCCATTTCCATTCCCCACGGAACACAGCTGCTCTCCTTGCTCTGTTCTGAAAGCCAAAAGTAACTGAACTCCCTTGGCCGAACTCCACCAGGCTGGGAAGTTTAAAACCCCCAGTCACTACGGTGACCCAGATTTGTAATGCCAAATCTCCATATTCCAACGGCAAAATGAAGTTTTCTAAGATCTTGGCCACTTTCTTACCCCCTGAAAGAGTGTTCATTTCAAGGGACAATTCTGTTACCTAAGAGTTTTCCTGCAGTTCAGTCTGGCCTGTGTGGGGAAAAGAATTCTGCTTTCTCCCCTCTGCATTTACAGAACTGAGGGCTGTTCACTGCTCACCCTTGAAGTTTTCAGGGATGTTACAGACTTGTTCTGTTTTTAGACTGAGACCTCATGTATCATTCCAGAGTTTACTAAATCTCCCTTTTCTGCCCCGAGATCACATTTATAGTCACGCAGCTCTTGCTTTTCCATAAAGCTTTTCCCTGTGTAAGGGAGAGCCTGGTCTCCAGGAGCTGGGGGAGGTACTTTCCTCATTCCAAGCTTCCTGGGCTCTACCAGGTACTAATATTTTACTTTATTATCATCTATTTTGGCTGGTGAAAACCAGAGCAGCCAAGGATAGAGCGGTGCCTGTGTGGAGACCCCAGAAGACCCCAAGCAAAGTCAATGTTCCCATCCAGCTCCACTCCTCCTGCTGAGCCTGGGGAAGCACCAGCACACTCAGGAAAGGTTCTTGGAATTGCTTTCTCACAGTGAAATTTTAAGTATGGAACTGCACTGACCCTGGGAACACAGACTCCAGGCTCTTTCCCTTTGGAATGGGAGAAGTTCATCATCTTTGCCATCAGTCAAATTTTAATATTCCCCGTTGCTGTGATGAACATCAGAACGTACTGCAAGCACAGACATAAAAGTAAAAACAAAATACACTCCTGCCCCCAAAAAAGCCCCAAATAAAAGAGCCAAAGCTATCCATTTGACCACCTTAAAAGTACTAAAGAAGCAACAAGTTAAAAAATAAAATAAAAAGAAGAAATGTATTAACACACTCTTGCAAACTGATGGATTTTTCCTCTTTAAGCAGCTACTGAAATGCATTCAGTGAACAGTGTGAAGTGGGAGATGAGAAGCCACCACCCAGGTGTGCCCACGCAGACACACGCACATGACCCAGAAGCACAGAGAGAAACAGGATTAGAGATTTATTTCTGAAAAAATCAAATACAGAAGTGAGTTCACAAGGCAAAAATAAAATCTGGTTCCCCATATTTGTCTTAACATTTCATAAAAAGTAAAGCACCTGTTAATTTAGATGATGAGAAATCCTAATGAGCCATTAACCATTAACTTCTACTCCCATTCCTCTCTCTATTTGATAAATAAAGAGACAAACAGAAGCAGGTGAAGTGTACAGACTGAAATCCTCACATAAAATCCTGCAAAAAACCATTCACATTTAGGGTGCGCCCACTCCACTCCGCCTTTCTTTTTAAATACATTTTCACTGCTATTTTATAAATGGAATTGTGTGGCCTTTCGGGAATTTCACTTAAAGAACACAAATGAGCTCATCAGTGCTGAGTTTAATTGCTGCAGGGAAGTTTAGCTTTATCTTCTAAATAAAGATTAACAAGTCTAATGAGAACTTAGCACAGAATTATGGAACGGTTTGGGTTGGAAGGAACTTTAAAGAGATCCAGTTCCACCCCTCCGCCATAGGCAGGGACACCTTCCACTAGACCAGGTTGCTCCAAGCCCCATCCAACCTGGCCTTGGACACTTCTAGGGATGGGGCAGCCACAGCTTTGAGGGGAAAGAAGAACTTATGCTGGGCTAGGACACGGCAAGGACAGCAGAGAAGGGAGGGGGTTTATGTGAGAACCCGAACAGAACATTGGCCAGGGCACGAGAGGACTTTTATTAGTTTGGGTTTACATATGGAGATAGAACTTTTTTTCTTAAAACAAAACAAAACAAAAAAAAAGCAGATACCAACCCATTTCCTGCTTTTGAGTTGCCTTTGCTGTCCGTGCTGAGCTGAGAAAGGACATAGTGAGGCGCTTTGGCACTGTCGGCATCAAAGATATCCATGTTGGACTCTTCACAATCTCGGCGTTTGATCCCTGGCCTCTGCTTTGGGTTGCGTTTGCGCGATTTACGTGGCACCTCAGTGTTATCATTGTAGGAACTGGTACTCATGTTACTGAAGTTGGAGGGTGAATCCTCCATCCACATACTGCAGCTCTGTTCTGACTCCAGTGCACAGCCCTCATCCTGGCAGGACATCCGACTGTTGTCCAGCAGGTCCTCGGGTGGTGGCGAGATGTACAGGACTGTGTGGCGCCGCGGCGTTGACTGGTGCTGCTGGGCTGTGTTACTGGTTATCTGCTGGTCACTTACCCCTCGGGTACTTACCCCCACGGCTGAGGAGCAGCTCTCCACTTGCATAGCCTTGCTGTCGGTGACTGAGGTAGAGTAAATGGTAGGACTGGAAGAGGTGGTAAAGGAGCTGCAAGCACCGCCCATGGAGGAAGAGGAAGGAGCTGAAGAAGCATCTGCGGTGTACAATTCACAAGTAAATACCGGAGCCGCGGCGGGGGCTGTGCTGGCTATAGCAGTCCCAGAGAAATCAAGGTGATTTAGGAACCGATTGCTTTCCCCCAAGAAATGTTTGGAATTTGGTTACGTTTTAGAATGGAAGTGCTTAAAGCAACACAGCCTAGCCAATACTTTGGAAATGTCCAAACGAGTCTTAGCACGATCCACTGTAATCAAATTTTTATGACTTAATGTTAATTCATACAAATGGCTGCGAGTAAACAGAGCTTTCATCGCCTCAGCTGGACTAATTATTGGTGTAGAAGCCATTTCATCTAAAATAGCCCCAAAGCGAAATGCTTATAAATCCACATTCAATGCCAATTAAACCATTTATTGTTGGAAATTTTTAAATTTTTTTTTTTTGAAAAAGACGGGACTGTGCTTAGCCACAAAATATTAAAATAAGTTTCTAACCTATGAAGCAGAGAACTACAGGTCATTTTTAATGCAGACACTCCCTGCTTCAGAGGCAAATCCTGGAATAAAAATATGAGAAAATAAATGAGAAAAAGAGCTGCTGATTATTCCATCATAAATGAGAAATAAAATATAAAATCAACTGAGTTGGTAGGCAAAATGGAACTGGTATCAGTCACTATGAGTGAGCTGTGGATTGTGAAGGTTCAAAACAGGGCTGAAACATCCGTGTTGGTGACACACTGATCCAAGGACAGGGAATTTCTGTAATTTGACTTTTCCAGTCACTGAGACTGATTTCTCTCAGACTTTACAGTCCAATACACAGAGATAGTTTGGGACAGACCTCTGAAAAATTCCTATTAAGCAGGAGATTTCCAACAGCGTGTGAAGTCTCCAGAGGTCTCACAGCTCAATCTGGTTTAGAAATTATTAAAACAAACCCCTGAAGATTTCTGGAGAACACCATAACTGCTGCCAAGGAAGAATTTTAATGGACAAATCAGCTGAATACATGGGTTAAACATTCCAGAGGAAGCAGGATGGGCAAATGTAGGGCTTTATTTATTTATTTATTTCAATCACCTGTAGCTCACTGAGGAATAACTGAACTGAATTTTATAGTCAGATTTCAGCTTCTTGGGGGAAGATCATCCTGGTTTATGTATTTCTGCACTGCTGCCCACACCTGATAAACCAGAACCACTGAAATAACCTAATTTTGGAACACATTGTACATTAAATATATACATAATTATACAATGTGTTTGTTCAGCTAGTTACTGCTGTCAGGCAGGTAATCCCTATCATTAAGAAGAATATGATGTTTTCCTTTTTGCTGTGTGGGATTTTTTTTAAATCCAAAATATTATGTTAAACTCCCAAGTTTAAAAGGTTTAGGGACAGTCAGACTATTTTATCCCATTTTACTTAGTTAAAAGTAGCAGAATAAAGTATTTTCAGCCACGATATATATTTAGTTAACAGTAAAACTCAGCCAACCTTACCATAAATCCACCTACTTGGAATTACTGGTGGTATCATTGATTGATGATAAAGAATTTTTAAACTATTACTGGTTTTTTTTACAGCTTTTCTGTGCTAAATGAATGTAAAAGCAAAGCTACATCACTTCAGACTGTAAAATTTAGTGGCCATTACAGTTTATCGATAAACTATTCTGCTTTTATCACCTTCCCCAAACCTCCCAGTGAACCAGGAGCAGCTGAATGATACCAGTTCCATTTCCCAGTTTGTTCTTTGGCAAATACAGTGGCTGAAACTGGACAATTCAGTCACTTTGCATTCCAATTTAAAGGAAAATTTCTCCTTTCTATATCATGCATTAATGCAATGCTTCTTTCAAAAACAGTTACAGGATTGGCAAGAACTATTAAATCTAGATATTCATTTCAGTGACAATATTTAGGAGCTGATTTGCAGCCACTTTGAGTTGAGAAAGCCCGTTGCTATTGGGGATGTTTGTTTTGGTAAATTGAATTAGTTTCCATTCATCATTGACACCCTCAAAGAGAACCAGAACATGTTCTGCGTGGAACAGGCACAGCAAGCACTGAGCTCACCCCGCTCAGCAAGTGCTTCAATGCATCTCCTGGCCAGGATTGCACTTTTCCCTCACTTTCCTAGGGAAAAAAATAAATACATCACTAAATAAAACGCTTTTGAGCACAAAGCTAAAAGAGCTCGTGATGGCAGTGCTGTTTTAGGGTGCAGCATTGTGCAATATTGAAGGTGTTACCATTCACTACCCCTCTCCAAAACAGTTTCTCCTCCTTTTTTTTTTCCTAGAAGCTAAGAAGAATTTATATGTATGAATATGTGTATGTGGGTTTTTACACTTTTTAAAATTAAATAAACATTGTCCATTATAAATTGGTTACACTCTCCTCCATTTACCAGAGACACCCCTCTGGAATGACAAAATTAGATTATGGAAATAATCCCAAATTAAGCAGTAATGGCAAGAAAATCTCTCTTTAGCCTTATATAATAAAGTACTGCCATTACCAGCCATAAATATGCAAGTGTTTTAAAGAATGTAAAGGCCACTGTATCCTCAGTTAAAATAAGTAAACATATATAAGAAAGTATGATAAATATTATAGCAAATGGAATAAACTGGCCGTATTGGAACAGTCAAAGACACAAATTTAAAATCTGTTTGGGGGGATAAATTAGTAATTGCTTCAGTAACATTTTAAGTTATGCAAATACTAAGAAACATAACGAAATCTATGTTTTCTCAGTCTGCAAGCCTTGAGCCAACTCATCTTCCTTTGAACTAATAAATAAATTGGGTCAATCAAATAAGAATTCACCAAGTTACTGTAATGAATTAACTGTATTTTACATGGCTCCCATTTCGTTTTGTCATTTTATTCCAAAGCCAGGGACATTTGTATCTGACACCCAATGGAGATTTCTTGGGGGGAAAAAAACCCCTCAGTTATTCTAACTTAGCTGGTGCTGCTTTAAAAGGTGAGAGCATACACACACACCTTTGCCACATACTTTGAGCGCTCCTGTTATTTTACTTTCTTTAGACACATATTAATGGGAATTGTTACAGGTGGCTCTTTTATTTGCAACTTAACAGTGTGTGCAATGACAAAGATATATATGGTTTTTAGATGAGCAGGTACATTTTGCAATAGAAGACTGAATATATTTAATTTAACACAGCCTCGAAATCAAACTTGCTTTCAGAGCAACAACACTGAAGAGAAGCCAAGCGCTTGTCATGGCAAATGTGCAGCCTCAGGATTAGAAATGGAATGTTCACCAGCATCACAAAGTGGGTATTTTCTTTTTTTCAATAAAAAATGAGAGAAAGGAATATTTCACATTAGAGCAACTGTGATCACTGTTGAAACTAAACCTCCCGAATCTCTTTGTTGCCATCGCTGTAACACATAAGGGAACTGAAATAAGTAATTCAGATTTTGCTGCCTGTCCTACAAGCTTTTTCTCCCTAAAAGAGGCAGAATATCAGGCCTAAAACTAAGGGAACACATAGTAAAGAGGTTTGCTCCCTGTGAGGAAACCAGGGCAGGCTTTTTCCTTCCAGTACCATAAAACAAAAATTTTTTACCTCCTGTATTAGCAACTAAGGCAATGACAGATTTTCCATATCCTACTCTCTTGTGAAGACAAACAAGGCATTCAGCCTCTAACAAAAAGGTCTGAAAGGCAGGAGAGAAAAAAAAATCACTACTTGGCACTGAGAGAGTGTTTTTAGGTAACATTTCTGTGGAGCCAATAATGAAATTCTTGTTCATTCTTTTCCAATATCCTTAAATACAACAAGGATTATCAAGTCCTCAAAAAGAAACAAACAGTGTCCTGATGACCTTTTTTTTTTTTAATTGCAAAAGTAAGTAATTTCCCAGGCTGGAGAGTTTAAAATTGCAAAGGCAAATAAACTGGAGATATTTCTGGTTTCACAAGTTTTTTAGCCACCTGTGCTTGGACAGCCAGGACAAGCAAAAAGCCATTAAAGAACTAATTTTTCTCTCAGGGCCTCCCCTGCATCCCACGTAATCCCCTACACTCCGTGCAGAAAACAAGTGTCCAAAATGAAAACTCACCCCAGGGTGAGAATTAGGTGGTGTATAAGTTTAATATGTGAAGTACAACTTTTAATAAATGTATTAATTTATCCAACATGTCATTTTCTTGATGAGATTTTGTATGTTAATTGGTTTATTCGAACCCCTAGATACAGAAGAACAATTTCAGGGCAAACCTAGAAGGAAACTGTGCAAAATTTCCACCATCAACCCTTGTGTTGTCAAAGGTTTTAAAGGTAAAACCCAGAACTTACAAAGTGGCTGCAAACCTGCTTTCAACACCTCACATGCCAAACTTGGGGTTCTACTTTTCTTCTTCTTGTATTACTGATGTCATGTCAAAAACTTTTTCCAAAAACTTTAGTTTCAAATCAGTATCAATCCACTATTCAGAAATAAAACAAAAAAAAAATTAAAAATAATAAAAAAAAAAAAAAGAAAGAAAGAAAAGAGACTTATGAAGAAGTCTGAAAACAAGACCGACCTATACCCTGGGTGAGATTGGATGGGTTAAGTGTCTCTGGCACTATTTGTCTTCACTATTGACAGACACTGTCACACAACCCACCACTCGATGCCTGTCTCTGAATGGCGAAGCTAGAATGCAAGTTAAGTGTATTAATAGAGAAAAAAACTAGCATCCCAGCAAATATCATAAAGCAATCCAATTCACCAGTTATTAAACACACTCAGATTCAAGATAGGTAGGTTAATTTAATTTACATTAAGCCCCACAGTGTAAATTCCCCTTTACATTCCCATGCTGACCCAAGCAGTGTATTTATTATACTTTGGGTAAATACATTAATCAATGGTTTTGTTATAAATTACTCCCGTTATTCAATTAACACTCAAGTTTAGGTATCTAAGTAGAACTTTTGTTAGTGGCTCACACACACCAATTCCACGGATCTTAGATCCTTCCCACTCAAAGCTAAAAGGCTGAT